TCCTTGTTTTCCCCTTCTGAAATCACTAAACCGATGTGTGACCAGTGAATTTCTCCACTGTGAAATCAATAAGGCTTATCTCATCTTATCTTATCTTATCTTATTCCGATAAGGGTAAATGGCTATATTCGTTGCATCCTTTGTAAGTGGGCAAACCTGCAAAATCAGCAAGGGGGTCAAACACTCATTTCCCCCGCTGTAAAACCGGACACATTTGGCATTACGGGGTTAAAGCTTACTCTTGTCAGGGGGGGTTCTTGAGGGAGGACTCAGGTGCGGAGATGAGGGGAACAAGGTTTATTATAACAAAAAACCAGAGTCCAGACAAAGTACAAAGCAAAGCTGTGGAAAACTGTGGGCAAAGTATCAAAGCAAAGCAAACAAGACTGTGGCAAAACTATGACAAAGTAACAAAATAACAATTGGCAAAACTGTGACTATGGCTGAGGCAAAAACTGTGACAAAAGACGAAGGCAAACCTGGCGTGGGGGTGACGAAGGACAAAAGACGAAAGACGAAAGACAAAACGCACTCGCGCCAGACAAGGGGAAACAGGACTATTTAAACACATGAGGGAGGGGAACCCCAGGTGAACACAATGGGTAATCAAGACATGACGAGACACCAGACGTGACACAAATACTTATTTCCCCCACTCTATCTATCTATCTATCTATCTATCTATCTATCTATCTATCTATCTACAGTGGGGGAAATAAGTATTTGAGCCCTTGCTGATTTTGCAGGTTTGCCCACTTACAAAGAATGCTTATTTTTCCTCATCAGATGGTTATCAATTTTTATAAATTCATATGATGTGATTTTCTGGAATTTTCTTTGGGATTCTGTCTTTCACTGTTAGAATGTACATATGATTAAAGTTATAGATCGTTGCATTCTTTATAAGTGGGCAAACCTGCAAAATCAGCAAGGGGGTCAAACACTCATTTCCCCCACTGTAAAACCTGACACATTTGGCATTACGGGGTTAAAGCTTCCTAGCTTCCTCTATTTATTTATTTATTTTTTTTAATTTTTCGCCTTTTGCAGCAGCGACGAGGACAACAAGCCCCTGCAGGGCAGCCGGACGTCCCTGGACGGGCCGGTGAAGGAGAGCGACGACAGCCTGGTGGACTACGGCGAGGGCGGGGACGGCCAGTTCAACGAGGACGGCTCCTTCATCGGCCAGTACACCGTGAAGAAGGACAAGGACGAGACCGAGGGCAACGAGAGCTCCGAGGCCACGTCCCCGGTCAACGCCATCTACTCTCTGGCGTAGCCACGCCCCCAAAACCCCCCAAAAACCCCCAAAAAACCCTAAAACCCACCTAAACCCCACCCGCCCCAGACACGCCCGTATCGGTCTATGAAACCAAACACACACTGTATCCACACAGGGGGGAAACGGGGGGGGCACCAAACATAAACCCGGGAATCGGAATCGGTCGGGAATCGGACCAGGAACCTTTTACAGTTTCCGGATCCAAGAGAAGAAAAATGGCGTCCGGAAAATAGCGTCCCTCTGCCCCCCCCCCCCCCC